ATATATATATATGAATTTAAAAAATTATTATTATTTTTTATTTCAGACAGCTACCTGCAAGATGTTCAAGAGGAAGACGAAGAATCTAATCGTGGTTCAGGAATTGCCAAAATGCTGGAGCTGTCTGGATGCAGTCAGTCTGACACCAGTAATAGTGTTGGAGAGGAGGCTGAGATGAGTAGACTGAGGTCACCACTGGATGACCTTCAATCTCAGAACACCATGTTGCAGGATGAACTCACCCTGCTCAGTAATGTAAAGGGAGAGCTTGAGGCAGAGCTAGAGAGGACCAAGGAGGAGTTTCAGATGGAAAAAGAAGAATTGGAGTTCAAAATCAACGAGCTGCAGATGATTAATAGTCCTTCCATCGAATCTGTTGTGACCCTAAAAACTGATCAGGGAGAAATAAAACACCCGGTTGTTACTTCAACCAATGACCAAAATGCCCTGAGTTTAGAAGAGCAGACAAAGCTGAACGAGGAACTAATAACTCAGTGTGAGGTTTTGATCAGAGAACGAGACTCCGCAGTAGCTGAGTGCCACCACATGAGAGGCATTCTTCAAAGTGTGGAGACTGAACTGGGTGAGAAGACCAAAAATTTTGTTCAACAGTACAATGTCATGAAGGAACAGGGAGCTAATACCGTGAGAGACCTCCAGGACAAGATTGAGCAGCTCAGTCAAGAGAGAGATGAGCTATTAGTGAGGATGACCGAGATTACGAAGGAGAAAAACACCCTGGTGGACAATATGCAAGACCTTCAGCAGAAGCTTGAAGGTTCCTCGATTGAAAATGAGAAACCTCTGTCATCTGTGGAAGAACAAATCCCTTTAACCTGTGAGCTAAAACAGTCTGTGGAGGATCTGATGAGGAAGAATGAAGAAATCTTGTCCCAGCTGAAGATGAAGGAGAACATGATTCAAGATTTAGAAGAACTACTCAACACACTGACTGAAGAAAGGGATCAAATGCAAAACCTGCTAAAGCTTAAAGAAGACGAAATGCAAATCCTGAATGATGAGAAAACAAAAGACGTGGAGAAGCTGCTGGAGGAGAAAGCAAGAGAAGCACTTTTGATTAGAGAAGAAAAAGAGAAAGTGCTTGAAAACCTAAAAATAAAAACTGAGATTGAACTGAAACATTTGAATGAGCAGAAAGAAAAGGTGGAGGAGAGTCTAAAAGAAACGCTGGTGATCCATGAGGAGAAATGCTCCACTTTGGATCTGACCATCAGCGAGCTCTCCATAGACAAGTCCAATCTCTTTCAGAAACTGGAGCAAGCTTTATCAGAGCTTTCCAAGGCTCAGGAGCACAGTGAGCTCTTGCTCTCCAAGCTGACAGAGCTGGAGGCTCAGGTGGAGCAGAGGTCATCTGAAAAGCAACTCCTTGAAGCAAAGTTGAAGTCACTGACTGAGGAGGCTGGACAGGCCTCTGCTTCTGTGCAAACATTGAAGGAAAACCATGCTGAAGTGCTCAAAATGTCCAGGGATGAAGTTGAAGAGCTCCGAACACATGTTGATGAGCTGGAGAAGGAAAGAGGACTGTTAAAGAGCAGCATTGAAAAGGCTGATGCTGAAAGAACAGAGGAGGTTCAACAGGACCTACAGGCTCACATCACAGACCTGGAAAAGGAGCGAGACATGTTTAGAAGCAACCTTGAGGAGGTGGCGAAGGATGTCGAGGGGCTGCAGAAAGACCTGCAAGACATGAAATCAGTTAATGCGAAGCTTGTTGATGAGAACCAGGAACATCTGGCTCATATTTCTCTGCTTGAAGGTGAAAAAGAGTTAGAGGAGGAGTTGAGGAGAAAGATGAAGAACATGGAAAGAAACGGCAAAGAGCTCGAAGATCAGCTGACGGAGAAGGACTCTCTTATGTCACAGCTGAGGAGCGAAATAGCGTCTCTACAGGTAGGTGGAGCGTCCGACTCGTGTCACAAAAAATTTCACTAGTGATGCTCAAGAGAATAGAAAATAAAACTAACAGTTTTTATTGTCTACTTTTGTCCCTCTCTTTGTTTATTCACTCTCACAGGAATCTGCTGCTCAGTCCGTTTCCTCTGAGGAAAACGAAGTCAGTGAGATGACGAAGAAATTAGGTGAGACGTTGGCTCTCGCCTGTTATTTCACACAATACGTGGTTTTCAGAACACTTTCTTTGCTCCATTTCGTCATTCAAATAGAAAACGTTCATTCCGTAACTTCCTTTCCCCTCAGCTCTTCTGACAAACGAAGTGAAAGAAAAGGATGAGAAGATGAATAAAATCAAGGCAGTTGCTGTTAAAGCAAAAAAAGAGTTGGACAACAGTAAGAAAGAGGTAAAGTGAAGAACTGCATTGCATCTGTGGCCGTCTCGTTAACAAATGTCCAACAACACCATGTACATGATCAGGTTTATGTTTTATCAGTGTACTGTTCCAAGGGCAAGAGATGTATAGATCAAGGGTTGTTGAAGATTCACTTGAACATAAGATGGACCACAGCAGAGTTCATCCACTATGATTCAGGTCTTTTATGCAGCAGAGTAAACTTACTGGAACAATAAAACAAACGAGCAAAGCATCGTAGTGTTGTGGCTTTCACACCCATTTAAAAAAAAAAATTTTTTTCAAAGTAAAAGCTGAATGCAACAACAAGTAAATGCAAAGCTGTATACAGCATTAATGCAGAGAGAATACAGTACTGTACTGTGTTTGGGCTCTTAGTTTTATGATGAAACAACTTTAAAGCTGCCCAAGAGTTTTTAAAAGAATCCTTTCCTAACATTTGAGAGGACTTCTCTAATCCTGAGTATGATTTCTGTCATCGGGTTTGTAAACCAGATAACTAGCACCCTTATCAGCCATATCATTCAACACCGTTTTTAAAGTCTTTGTTTAACAGTCTACTTTTGTCATACTTTATTCCACATGCAGTTCATTTGAATCATATGTTTATTAAATGATGCATGATTCCTGGTGTCATAACAGTTTAGCTATTTCAAGCCAGTTTCAGACTACAGCTTATTTTTATTTTTAACTTTACAGTCTAAATTAAATCACCTCCATTAGTTTTTTTTTTTTTTTCTTGAAATAAAACATCTTAATATGAAATTTAATCTTTATTATCTCAACCCCTTTCTTACTTCAATGAATACAAATTGACTATTGATAAACATCCTTAATAAAGACCCACCAACAAAAGTAGGAACACACTCTTGCCTCCAGTTACGTATTATATAGATCAGATATTTCTTACTTAGTTTACAGATGAGTAACCACGCTTGGCTAAAATTGTAATTTACTTCATCTTTTCAGGTTCAAACTCTCAAGGAGGAAGTCGAGTCACTGAAAGCAGAGCGGGAGAAGATAAACAGCTCTATGAAGGATATCATTCATGGTGCTGAAGGCTATAAGGTAAGATCTACTGGGTTTAATCAAGGCTCAAAAGAAATTCCAGATCTGTCAGTTCGTAGGAATTATTCAGTATTCAAAGCATAAACTATGCAAGTACTGAAAATACTAATAACTTAAGTACTATTATAGTCTACAATACTATTTTTGCCTCTTACTGTGTCCACTTTTGAATCAAGTCTAGGGTTGCCAACCTCAGTAAAGTGAAATGGGAAATGCATATTCGTCCAACACAGTTTTTAAAGTTATTAACGAAAACACAACTTTTTTATTTATTTTATTTTGGCATATATGTATATAAAAACTTGAACGTCAAGATGATGGAAATTTGTAAGATTCTAATCAGAAAGTAATTTAATCCTACCACAACACTTTTACATGTAATATTTCCTAAAATTTGCAATAAAATGAAACTTTAGTGAAAGAAAAATAAAATGAGAAAAAGATCCTTCCAGCATCCAATAATTTACTGTCAATATACAAATAAAAAAAAACAGCTTTCTTGTACAAATGTGTTTAACTTATAGTAATGTTTTAATGTCAAACAGTGTCTCCAAAATTGTTTTAAAATGTAAGTTTGAGTCTGGAGAAGTATGGGATTTCAAAATAAAAAATGTGTTAGAATTCTAGACTATTAAGCGCATAAATTGTATATATATAAATATTAATAAATACAATATTTATGTATTATAAACTGGTATTATCTGCTATACTTGTGTTTTATTAAAGAGTTTAACTGTAGTGATGCAATCCTTCCCACAAGCCCTCTGTGGTCGATCTATGCTCAGGTGTTCCGTGTTTTCTGGGTTCATTATGTCACCTAGAAAAATCCCTTTAGTCGTATTTACCACTAGTTTTAAACCTCGACTGATCTAACACATGATAAAAAAGTAGGACTTTAAAGTACTTCCTGCAGTAAAATTAAATGTAATTTAATCAATGTCAGAACACAATGCAGTGTTTACAAAGTTCCTTTTTTCTATTTTTCCTTTGTACATGTTTTCAAAGAGCAGAATTATTAATGTATCTGGTATATCAGATGGAAAGCTTAGCTTTAATCCTAACATAATGTGAATAACTCTAATGTAAAACTTACAGATTTGATTATACATTTATTTTGCCTCATGCATTTCTTAACATTTTGTTGCTCATTGGCAAGTGGAGGTTTGCTCTCGGTAAAACGTAATATTATTCCCAGTGGGCTCCATAAACAGCCCCCCAGACTGTGTCGTGCTTTAAAACTGTGTCTCCACTAAAGAGGAAACCGCTCTGTTGTGTCTAATGAGAGTTTTGTCCCAGAGGTGAAGGCAGCTGATATCTGAGAGGCATCGTGTTTGCCTTCATTGAGGAGTTCAAGAAATGAATACTGAAGATTTGCCTGTGTGTGTTTGTGTGTTTGTGTGTGTTTAGAACCTGCAGATAGATTACGACAAGCAAACCGAGCAACTGGATGGAGAGCGAGAGAAGGTGGAGGCGGCCGAGAGACAGATTGCTGAGCTGACCAAACGACTCAGCAGTGCTGTCACACAGGTAGCTCGGGCACACACACACACACACACACACACATTACAGAGAGCCAGCAGACAAAATGCTCTCAGCATCCCGTAAATCTAAGCAGTACGACTTTACCCAGCAATGCTTATAGCATAACTCAGTTTCCCTGTGATTTACAGGGAGTCGTTCTAGCCAGCGACACTTTACCCAGATAAATCTGGCAGGTGGGCGCCCACAAACAGCCCATCAGATGTGACTGGGTGAGCAAGGGAGAAATTGTTTTTATATATATATATATACTCCTTTCACCAAAGCTCATAACTGTCTCTTTCCAGTGAAAGGACAGGCAGGTAAATGGAGCGGGGTATAGCCTCCATCTGTTGTATGCTAGTGCATTTTCTGAGGCGCAGCTTTATTCTCATAAGCGCTCATGGTTCTCGAGGTGCGCACACAGCAGCTAGTTGGGGATCTCAGAGTACATCCCAACGTCTCCGTTTACCCATCATATGGTCGGCGTTTGGCTGACAGCTGATTGGCGAGAGCTGCCGCTGATGCCGGTCGAGAATACTGTCTAGAGAAAGCCCACAGAGCCCGCTGCTGTCAGCTTCGCATGGATGGATTTCAGAAGTGTCACGTGTGTTTTGTGCTGGTGTGGTGCGTTTGTCTACAAGCATATTTCTACAGAAAACTTGCCAAAGAAAGAAAAGAACAATCCCTTTTCTTTTTATTATATTTGACTGGATCATTTGATTGATTCATATACTGTTCGATTTGACGTATGGCTGTCTGAGAGACATTAAACGAGTGAGGTTTTCTTCACTTTTGCAGAAGGAAACACTGAGCGGTGAGAAGGAAGATCTACTAGCCGGTCTGGAGACCATGAGGAGCACCATGAGGCAGCTGGAGGCCAAGAACCAGGAGCTGCAGAAACAACTATCAAGTCTGGACAAAGACCTTATAGTCGAGAGAACAATCAAAGAACAAAAGCTCAAGGTAGAAGTTCTAAACATTTGACTGATTCCTCCTATACATGCATTTATATTACATTAATTTAATATAATAATAATAGAACTGATGGGTTTTCTTGTCTCAACAGGAATTGTCATCTGCTATGAAGGAGGTGGAGGAGCTGACAGCGCAGCTCTGCAAGCAGCAGCAGCAGTCTCAGCAGACCGCTCAAGAGCTGGAGCAGCTTCGCAAGGTAGGTACCCAAACACACAAGTGCTTCTCAGACCCTAGTGTGTCTCAGAGGGCCTATCCAGCCAAGAGACTGAGCTGCAATGGCCGTCCTGGAGTTACAGTGGCACTTCACATAGAGAGGGATCCGCTTTAGCCCACAGAAAGAGAGTAATCTTTCCATTAGTGAAGACCTACATATTGCAGCAGTGTACAAGAATGATGCCCAGGGGTGCAGCTTTGTCTTGGGCCCATTTTACTAATTCTTCCAGAGAAACAGAAACTTAGAGGCTGATACTGTAGGACAGGAGCGTCCATATGTTTTCATAGGTGGGACTGTTTGGATGAGGAGTCTTGGGTCAGAAATTTTTGAATTTAAGAAAAGAAACGATTTTACAAAGTGTGATTTTTATTTTTCCCTCTCATTTTTAAACTCTCAGCAACTTGAACAATATTTTGGAGAAAGTTAAAAGTTTAGTTTAAATTATTGTAGATCCAGAATATTAGGAGCCCCATAAACCCTAACCTTTTATTTATTTATTTAAATATTTAAATTTATTAGATTTTTTTAGGCCTATTATTTGTGTTCTTGTGCTTGGAAAGTTCTTTTTTTTTTTTTTTTAGAGACAATAAAAGGAGTAACTAACTGTTCTTTAAAAAAGGAGTAGAACTTCAATCACCTGTTTGAACCATAGACGGCCCAAATGGGTCATCAAAATTCTGAAAAACCGTCCAGCTGGCAGTCGCTAAAACAGATTCATGGAAGGTTTGAAGGGACACTGATAAAATTGATCAACTTGTATATCAATGATACCATTTTATATTCTTTTAAAAATGTCCAATTTCTCCCAATCAGTTATTTAATCAAATGAAATTATTTTCTTTGAAAACACGTTATTTTTAGCCAAGTTTTATGAATTATTATCCAAAATGCTACTTTTTGGTAGGTCAGTGAAGGTTTGTTGTAGGATAAAGGGATTACCTATAGCTAAGTATAACAGCGCTCATTTTGTGAAGATTATTTTAATCTGTTTTGCTGTTAAACCTAAAAATGTAAAAAGTGTCACCATTAAATCTAAAAAAGGTCTACATCTGCATCCACCTCTTAAGCCGGTCAAAATTATACCATTCTTTAATTGCAGTCGTGGGCCTCACATAATCACTCCAAGGGCCGAAAATGGCCCTCGGGCCACACTTTGGACACCCCTGCTCTAGGGCATTTCTTTAAATGGTACATGGCATTCTAATTATTTTTTCTGTTTAAAAAAAAAGACTCAAAAAATTATATTTAAAAGTTGTACGTTGAAACATTCTGAAGAAGCTAATCAATTAAGACTTTTTATTTTTTTATTTTTTTGTAAAAAATACATAGACAGTCATCTTAATTGATTTGAACAGTTCATTCCAAAAAATGAAAACATAACTTGGAGACTAATGTTGCAAAAATGTTTTACTTCAAATCTGAAATTGTAATTAAGCCCTTTTCCCATGAGCTTGGATCAACCCAGATGGGTTCAGAGGCTTTCAAATGGGTGATCCTACCCACTTCCAGCTCGGTTCTTAAGACCTACCCATCCGAGGAACCAGGCAAGCTGCGCTGAGCTGATGATGTCACGTCAGCAGGCTGCAGGCCATCGATTGGCCAGGGAGCCACGTCACTGGATGAGTCACGGCAGTAACTGCTTCCAAACCATTTTCTGCAGCCAAACTGACTTGCTGAACAGCTTTATTTACTTTATTTGTCAAGTTTTAGGATGTTTAAGGGTCACATCCTAAACTATTAAGGTTTTTATTTTTCTCAAACTGTGTTGGTATACAGCCTAGGAAATACTGTGTATGTACTTGGCAATTAGCTGGTACTTCCAAGGTACTTGCCAGTACCTGCTACATATCAGGTACTTACAGTTGGGCTGTTTTTCTTCCAGTGTGTTTTATAGTCACATTTTTAGTAATGTATTTCACACATTTGACTGAGCAGAGTGCTGTTTAGTCAACCATGCATCAGGTCTTATTCATGTATTTCCTATAAGTGTGTGTGTATCTGCTTTAAATAGTAAATGGTAAATGGACTGTACTTATATAGCACCTTTCTATCTTATTTCAAGATACTCAAAGCACTTTACAACACAATCTGTGTCCTCATTTACCCATTCATACAGCACTCTACTAGATCTCTACAAAGTTAATTAAACAAATTATTCTAATGAGATTAATCAGAGCTTTAGATCACATTCATACACTGATGGGACACACATCAGCGGCTATGAGGGGTTCAGTGTCTTGCCCAGGGACACTTCAGCATGTGATTGCTGGTGGATTCTAACCCCCAACTCTCGCATTGGAGGACGACTGCTCTAACCACTCAGCCACAGCCGCCCAACAGAAAACCTTTAACAGAAAGGTCTTGTAAGTGGGAGACTTGGTTTGTTTTCAGGAAACAGAGGCTCTGCTTCTAGTCCTGCACATAAAACACTTGCATTTCCCCAGAATGGGATCAGCTCTCGGTGAAACAAGCTGAAACAGCACTGCACTTAATCTGTTCCCAAACAACACACCTATACAGTAAAAAAAAAAAAATCTGTCAAATTTGTTTTGAATAGGTTCTGCAAACACCTGACATGAGATAAACAAATTGAATTTTTTTTTCAGTTTTTCTGAACATTTTGCTCAATAACTACATTTGTCTTTAAGTCTTCCCAGCTTTTCTCACTTCTGACTATCGGGTTCTGTGTTTGCCACTAGGAGGCACAGCAAAACTCCCTGCTGGGCATGGAGATGGCCGACTATGAACGACTGGTGAAAGAACTAAATGGCAAACTCACTGAGAAAGACGAGTCTGTGGAGGAGTTAAAAGTTCAGATAAGGACCCTCACCCAGAAGGAGGAGACACTCAAGCAGGAAATTGGTACAGACTGCCTGTGCTTGTGTAAAATGTTTTTCCCCATTAAAGAAAGAATTACACACATTTACTCTTACTTTTTATCACACAGAATTATAACATTTTGGCAGTAATCACACTGTAGTTGGGTTCTAGCAAGTCTCCACAGTTAGGTCCAGATTTGTTTAACATTTATAAGAAAATTAAATAAAATATTAAAGGATTTAGAAGCACAAGTTTGCTTTTGCAGATCGTAAACATCCATCGTTTATGCAGATTTTTAATAATTTTCTCTCTATCGTGTTCACGTAATTCTAGCGCCTTCTGTTTGGAAACATATTTTTATAATTCCACCATTCTACACAATCAAGTTTTGTAATGGCAGCAAAATACCAACCATCTAAATATCTCTGAATCTTTTTGTGTTGAATTTGCCGTGCTGCTTGTGTGCACACGTCTGATATTATGTGTCTCCAGAGGCTTTGAAGTCCCAGCTGGACCAGGAGGGAGAAAAAATCATGAAGATGAAACAGCTGCTGGTGAATACGAAGAAAGACTTGGCGGATGCTAAGAAACAGGTCTGTGTGTGTGTGTGTGTGTGTTGGTGCATCCCAAAGGAACCTCTGTTACTGTGTAACGTTGCTGCTTGATGAATGTAAATAGTCTTTTGCAGTCATGTGTAGACATGACTTACAGGAAGGCCTTGAATATATTGTGAACAGTTGATCATCTTTCTGTGCTGACAGTCTTTCATATGTGTATGTGTGACTCTGTCCTCCATTCCTTCCTCCCTCCCTCCCTCCCTTTCCTTTCTTCCTCCCTTCCTTCCTTCCTTCCTTCTTCCCTTCATTCCTTCCTCCCTTTCTTCCTTTCCTTCCCTTCCCTTTCTCCCTCCCTCCTTCCCTTCTCTTTCCTTCATCCCTTCCTTCCTCCCTTTCCTTTCTCCCTTTTCTCCCTCCCTTTCCTTCCCATTTCTTCCTTCCTCCCTTTCTTTCCTTTCCTTTTCCTCCCCTTCCTTCCTTCCCTCCCTCCCTTCCTCTCTTCCCTTTCCTTTCCTTTTCCTCCACTTCCTTCCGTCCTCCCTCATACATGCAGGAGAGCTCCCTGATGATGGTGCAGGCATCTCTGAAAGGAGAACTGGAGGCTAACCAGCAGCAGCTTGAAAGCTCTAAGGTAACGAGCTAAGAACATCCAAGAAATAAACGCCTCACTGCTTTACTCGTAATTAAAGTACAGACTATGGGATATTAGGATTTTGCTCATGCACGGGGCACATTTTGACATGACTGTGTGTTTAGATTGAGGTGTGTGACCTGACCGCCGAGCGCCATCGTCTGCAGGAGCATCTGAAGTCTGCACTGGAGCAGCAACAAAGAACCAGCAGCTCCCTGCAGCAGCATATCCACAGTCTGCAGCAGGAAAGAGATTCTGCCAAGGTGCTCAAGTTAAAGTTTCTTCTTTTGAACTGTATATATTCCCTCTAACATCTTGGCTGGAAATGAATAATGATGGTGGACTGCTTAAAAAAAAGAACCAGTAACCTTTCTGGTATTGAAGCTAAATGAGACATTTTTCAGAAATTCTTGGCTTGGACTCACTAGACATGATTGATAAATGGTGTTGCAAGTAATGACTATTTTCATTATTAATCTCTCAATTATTTTTAATTAACTCTCAAATTTTTACAATGTCAACAGTATTTCCAAAAGGACATTTGTCATGCTCCAAGTGCTCAATATGACAGCTACTAATAGCCTGTTTGTATGACAATCAACTTAAAAGTAAAAACTAAACGTTGTATATAGATTAAAGGAACAGTAGGATTTTATTGTGTAAAGTTCTTATCGGCAGGTTAGTGTCTTACCTACAGAAAACAACAGTTGACTTAAATCCAGATGTGTTTGTGATTGGTTGTTGTTATCCTGATCCTGTATATATTTATTATTTTGGCTTCTTTACTTCTTCCATACATTTTTCTCCATCTTTCTTGTTCCACAATTTTTGAGCTATTTCAACAAATCATAGATCAAAATGTTCAGCTCCTTCAGGAGAAGGCAGCTATGACATTAGGTATTGGTGCAACTTTAGCTTTTTGAGATATTTAGCCTTTTCTGACACTTATCTCATAGAAAATGAATTGAGCTCATTTTCCATCCTTAAGATCTTTAGATCTGTTTACAATCTTTTACTGCTCCTTTCACATTTTGTTCTGGTTCAGCTTCTTTCAGCTTCCTTGTGCAAACTGAAACTTTTTTACAGCCACTTTCATCAGTTTTTCAGCTGTTTTGCGCTCTTTTCAGAATCATTCATCTAATTACAAAATTTTTGTGCTTCTTCTGCCTTCTTCCAACTTGTTATGCTCCTTTCAACTTGCATGTATTTATGCAAGTTTCAGCTTTTTCTGCTATTTCAGATACTATTTAGCTGTTTTTATGCTTATTTTAGCTTTTTCAGTTAGTTCCACATTTGTTGCACCTGTTTCAACTTTTTTCTGCCTAATTCAGCAAATTCCTTCTGGTAAATGAAGGTTCTTTCGGCCTTTTTTTTCACTACGATTCAGCTGTTTTTGTAAATTTCTGCTTTTTTCAGATAATTTCCACTTTTTGTGTTCATTTCTGCTTCTTTCAGCCTTATTTGGCACAATTGTGCTTTTCCCACGTCCTTTGGTAATTTTAGCTTCTTTCTGCCTTGTTTAGCTTCCAGTACTATTCAGCAGTTTTTTTGTTTTTGTTTTTGTTTTGTTTTTTTCAAATTTCTGCTTTGTTCAGATAATTACCACTTTTTTTTTCTTTTTTTTTCAGCCAAATTAGGCACAATTGGGCTCTCTCCCTTTCTTTCTGGTAATTTAAGCTTCTTTGCTGTTTCAGCTACTTTTCAACAATTTCTTTCTAATTTCAGCTGGGGGTTTTTTTGTTTGTTTTTTTTGCTAATTTACAAATTTTTATGCTCATATATGCTTTTTTAAACAAAATTTAGCAAATATGTGTTCTTTCTGCTTTCTTCTGCTAACTTAGGCATTTTCTTCCATTTCAGCTACATTTCAGCATGTTTTTAGCTAATTTCAGCTGTTTTTCAGCAAGTTCTTTAGCAATAAGCATTCACACTACATTTTCGCAGGAAATGCAGTTTCTCTAGTTGAAATTAGATTCACAATTCCAAGAAGAATGGAGATGAATGGTGACTTTTCGATGCTTACTAACGTCTAGGATCAGTGATGATGTTTAACTACGGACATATCTGCTGCTCATATCAGCATAGCCGTCAAACGTTTCCATCATGCTGAAGAGATATTTTTGACTCTGTGACTGTGTAAAAGGTCTAACTTAGCTGAGAAGGATAAAACATGGTTTACGCTAAACAATTTTCTAATTCATGACATACAACTATAGTGAGATTTGTGCTGTGGCATTTATTCCACGTCTGCTGTGTTTTAATTCCAGGCTGAACTTGTGGCGACAACGAGCGAGTTTGAGAGTTACAAGGTGCGCGTCCACAACGTTCTCAAACAGCAGAAGAACAAAACCAGCACCCAGAGCGTGTCAGACTCCGGCAAACTGGAGAGGTGAGAGCAACTCACAAGCAATGAGAAACCGCAGTAAGAAGACATGACTGGAACTTTTGCACATAATCTGCAGTTTAGGGTGAAATACTTGTGTTGGTGTTTTCTCTGCTCTCCAGCTCAAGTGCATTGAAAAAACACAAAGTTAAGGAGTAAAGTACCACCTGTTTTCTTCATTTTGAAACCAAAATGTTTGCATTTTTATTGTGTGTTCATCAGGAGGAAAAATAAAATGTACACGGTTATTAATGTACAACAGTGAACATATTTAAGTAGTTATTATGACTCTTTCAGACATAAAAGCTACAAGACTAATTTTGGCCACAAAAGGATGAAAACTTCCAAGTACAATATGTGCTTACAAATACAGTCAGGAAGTTACCACACTGAAGTTTGTGAAGATGAAAACAGCAGAATTCTTTTAAAACTATATTAAGACATTTAGAGAATTGTTTAATTAATGCAGAATTATTGCTTAGTAAGCAATGTAGCTTTATGCTACAAGCTGTATGAATCAAAGCTTCAAGAAATTCACACTGAGGTGCATACAGTGGACAAAATATTACATAAACAACAGTCATAAAATTAGTTAAATCACAAACACTGTTCTTAGTGAGTCAAGGCAGCGCTGTAAGGCTATTCAGACATGTTTTAAAATAGTTTTAAGCTGTTCAAGTGTTAGTGGGTATCCTAAATACAGGTCTGAATTTTAATAATGCACATTGAAAACATTTTTTGTGGCCACATTCAGGTGGTCCGAAGCCCGTTTTTTGACATGTGCTTGTAAATGGTAAATGGACTGTACTTATATAGCACCTTTCTATCTTATCAAGACATTCAAAGTGCTTCATACAACTCTCTACTAGATCTCTACAAAGCTAATTGAACAAATCATTCTAAAGAGATTAATCGGTGCTTTATCACATTCATACATTGATGGGACACACATCAGAGACATGAGGGGTTCAGTGTCTTGCCCAGGGACACTTAGACATGTGACTGCTGGTGGAATCGAACCCTCCAACTCTTGCATTGGAGGACAGCTGCTCTAACCACTCAGCCACAGCCGCCCCTAGTAGTAGTCTGAACATAATCCGTCCTGATCTTTGACTCTTGCAGCAAAGTGTGCACCCTAGGATAAAAAAGTCCTTAGCTGTTGTTTGATTAAAGATAATTAAATTGTTCCTTTTTAATATTTTACATATAGGTTTTTTTTTTCCCTCTCTGCTGAAAGTTTTCTCAGTATAAATGTTTTGTCATGATTTTATTCATGTAGATTACAGGATGTTGTATTGGTGAGTTTCTCTTTGGTTTATTGTTTGCTCTTTGGGGCAGCTGTGGCTAAGTGGTTAAGAGCAGTTGTAATCCAATGCAAGAGTTGGGAGTTCGCAATCACATGCCGAAGTGTCCCTGGGCAAGACACTGAATCCCTCATTGCCTCCGATGTGCGTCCCCTTGGTGTATGAATGTGATAAAGCACTGGTTATTCTTGGTATAGATCTAGTAGCATGCTGTATGATTGGGTAAACGAGGGCACAGATTGTGTTGTAAAGCTCTTTGAGTATCTTGATAAGATAGAAAGGTACTATGTAAGTACAGTTCATTTACCATTTACCATTTTGCTCTGATTGTTTCTGGACTTGTTGTGGTCACGTGTGCTGTAGTGTCCTGTGTCAGTCGGAGGACAACAGTCTGTTATGTTGAATTATATTCACTTAAATAACACAGAGCTGTTGTTAAACTCAGTAAAGTGGAGGGAACAGCTGTCAGTGCACTCCGATCTTTAACATGCTAAAACATTCATTATTTGCTCTGAACGAGCTTTGTGAAACTTGATCAACAAATCTGAAAACCCTCTTACGGTCATTAGAACGTGTGATGTGTTTTGCAGGGAGCAGTTGTCGTCTCAGGTTGACCAGCTGAGGATCAGACTGGCAGAAAGTCAGCAGAGCCTTCAGAGCAGCACCGCAGAACTGCAGCAGCTCCAGACTGAACACGACACTCTGCTGGAGAGGCACAATAAAATCCTTCAAGAAAACGTGACCAAAGAGGCTGAGCTCCGGGAGAGGTGGCTTTATTTATTGTTTTTTAAATTCTGTTTTGTCTGAAATTTGTTTTTTTGCTACATCTGATTGAATCTAACATTGTTTTTGTACGTTTGTAAACTTTTTCTTTCATCCTTGTCTCTGTCTCCAGGCTTTTGTCGCTGCAGTCGGACAACGTGGCCCTACGGTCCGACCTGTCCCAAGCTCAAGTGGATCTGTCCTCCCAGGTCGAGGCCCAGCGGCAGACCTATAGGGAGCAGCTGAGAAACCTGCAGGATGACCACCGAGCCACCGTGGAGACCCTGCAGGGACAACTGACTCGAGTCGAGGGGCAACTCTTCAACCTGCAGAGCCAGAACAGTAAGCTTGGAGGGGAACTGTATGCTTGAGCTGCCTTAACATAAAACATTTGTGGTAACGGGCAACGTAGCAGCTGCAGACTGGTGGCTCTCTGAGGTCTAAAACAACAAAAACGATCCAGAAAGTAACGCAACGCTAGTCATACTGCAGTCATTTTAAAATAAATCATATAAAGAGATCCTTCAGAGCATCAAGTAGTTTGCAGTGTTGATGTTTTCTTACTGTTCCATTCAGTGAAAGGAATGATGGAGGACAGAAAGGAAACAGAGCAGGGGGTTATCTGTGTGTTTATGAGTGGAGCAGCTCAGAGAACTCATCCATCACCTCCCACACAACTGCCCTCCAGAGTCAAACGACAAAAACACAGTAATGACTAGGAAAGGCAAGCGTGTGTGTCTGTGTGTTTCTTCTCCGTCACGTCATCAAGGCCAGGTGTTGGCTGGGCTCCTCAGCCATGTTCCCGCCTCACAGTGTGGCAAACGGCTCCCTGTGGCATCTGGAGGGACTCATCATTAGTGGCTCACACATGGACACTAGGATCAGCCCATTATGTGTGGTGGGGGGTGATACTCCTGTCTCTAAAGTCATATTTGGTCATTTTCACCACTACATTTAAATTAATTGCAGCTAAAATGGAGGTTGATTTAGCATCTGTGTGTTTGGTTGGGCCATAAAACTACTGAGCTCAGTATCTTTATAACTCAAGTGTCTCAAACATTGACACTGATTTGTGTTTATTGCCATACTCATTTTAATTTATTCTTTATTTGACCTTTTAAGGAGTACATAAACGTAAATAATTACATTTTAATTTACTGGTAGAAAGTTTAATCTAAAAACTCAACTCCTACATGTGTCCAGTTAACCACTGTTTTTGTCTGTCCAAACAGGTCTCACTTGTAAATGAGTCTTCGAGGCTCAATGTGATTTATCTGTTTAAATAAAGGTTGAATGAATTAATAAAAGATGTAGTTTTATAACTTATCAGGGATTTTTCTGAGTGATTTTTCTAATATTTAGGATCTTCATTTTGCTCTAAATTAAGATTCTTTCCCAGTTTTAGTAAACCTTTCCAGTAGATCTTGGTGTGCCAATAAACAAAGTGACCATTCTTTAACAGCAACATTTTTCACATTTTTGATCAAATAAAAACACAACGTTATTTATTGTTTCAAGCAGGATAGTAGGAGGGATATTCTTTTAAGTGGGCTATTTTTCCTGTTGTTTTCAAGAGTTTGTGTGTTGGCCTGGCAGATGTTAACTGTTCCAACGTGTCCCTCTACTGGTCTAACTTTATATAACCATTACTGTTGAACCTCACTAGAGAAGTGAAGGGAATGGTTGATTCAGATTTTTTTTTAATGCTGCCATCGATTCATGAATCAAAATCGTATCTGGTGCTCACTCGTGTCTCAGTTTCAAAATACAGACGACCAGCTCATAGGAATCAATTTTTTTGTTGATACTTGTATAAGTTTAAATAATCCATGAAAGCTTTTTTTAACAAATAGGCATAAAACTACCTTGTAGTAATGCTTTTATAGCTTTTTACTTAACTAAAATGTTGTCACTCAAATGATTTAATGTACTTGATTAAAGTACAAGGTACTTTAATCAAAACCTATTAGTTTTAAAGTGTTAAGTAAAATGTATTTTTTATAGCTTGTATAAACTCACACTAAATAAAATGCAAATGTCGTATGTTTTACCATGTCCACAAAAAGTAACTTTTTTTTCCTTTTTTATTTATACTCAGACTCTGTACTGGTTCATTCCAGTCGTAAGCCCCTGGCTTCAGACCCTCAGCGCAGAAACGCTGATCAGAACCAAACGGGGTTGACTTTCAGCGACCTCCAGTCTATGGCCAGGGAGGAGGGAGAGGGTATGGAGACCACAGAGACTGAGAAATCCTCTCCAGCTCTTGCACCCCTATCCTCTCTGGAGCAGCTTCTCACATCCCCAGACCCCAAACAAGGTGTGTTTAAAACAACAGGTGCATTTATAACAATAATTGTTTGTTAAAGCCATTGGATATTTAACTTTATTTTAGCAAAATGCACAATATACCCTTTTGTAACACAAGCAGAACAAACTACAGTAATAGTTCTCTTAATCCAACATTAGTCGGTATAAAATCTGATTTGGCAGAAGCTAAAATTTAACACCACACATACACATCAATAATAAAACATATTGTTTATGCAAGGTAGGCTTTTAACTTTTATATGACTTTGGTATCCTCTCCAGAGCCTTTTGTGTGGACGGTGGAGCCAACCAAAGAAGAGTTATCTGAAAAGCTGAGCACAGCCACTCGCAGCATGGAGCACATGAACAGCCTCCTGCATGAAACTGAAGCCACCAACGCTGTTCTCATGGAGCAGATCACAGTATGTAGAAGAAAAAAAATCAAGTTAACTTTTATTAACACCTGATCGTGTTTCACTCATCTCCAAAAAGCCAAATTATGTTTTTATGCGTGTGGCCAAAATACAATTACTGGATGAATTTTGATTAAACTTCTCATTAACTTTTGAGTCAACCCAATCCAAGATGGCTGCCACAGCTAACTCACCTTAGACACACAAGTACATATAACTGTCATTTTCAGATTTTGAGCTCAAATGTGGTGTGGTAGTAGCTGAGACTGATCCTCAACACACATTCTAACTACTAATATGTTGCACAAGATTTTTGTTGTAAATTTTCCCATTAACCATTTAGTCAACGCTTCGCAAAATGCCTCATGGACCACTAAATAGATTTTAGTGAAACTGTTGGGAAACCGGCATGGTGGCGCAGTTTGTAGAGCTGCCGCTTCTCAGCAAGAAAGTTGACGGATCGAATCCCGGCCAGGAACCTTTCTGGGTGGAGTTCTCTCTGTGCATGTGTGGGTTTACTCCAGTTTCCTCCCAGACCAAAAACATGCATGTTAGGCTGATTGGTAACTCTAAATTGTCCCTAGGTGTGAGTGAGAGAATGGTTGTCTCTTAAGCTGCTTTGCCATTAATAAGTGCGACTCCACTTGACTCATCTTATCGGTTCTTCTCAGGTGTAGGTGATTTGCCACTGTGACTTGTTTCTCCACTCTGTGGGTGGGATCGTCAATGTGGACGGTATTATAACTGGTCATTGTGCTTGAGCCTCTTAACTGTCCTATAATCGGACTTCCAATTTCTTTATCTTATCCCGGCACTGCTTGTAAGTCTGGGCGTAGCCATACCATACCATCATCTCCGTAAATGTGCTCATTTCTTGTGGTGTGGTCCGTCAACGCGATCAGAGGAAGTGACGGTTCAGATGTAGTTTGCAGTTTTGATGGGCGGGTTATTCAGTGACGTAGCTGCGCTGGCCAATCAACAGCTACTGTCTGCTTATGTCATAATCGGCACCTCGGAGCAGTCTGCTCGGAACCTCAAACAAGATGGTCCCATAAACCATGCTAAGGTGGGTACCGGCAGTGGGCAGGCCCTTAACTGGTGCAGAACCGATGAGAGTTGAGACAGTAGCAAAGTGTCATATGTGGGTGGCCTTGTGATGGATTTGCGACCTGTCCAGGGTGTCCCCCACCTCTCACACGGTGACTGCTGGATATGGGCACCAGTGACCCCCTGACCCAGAAAGGAAGCAGCAGGTAAAGATAATGGATGGATGTTAAGAAACAGTTATTAGATGCTCATTTACAATTGAGAGAACTTTGAGTCATTCCAATTGAAGATGGATGGCACAGCTAACCCACATTAGCCAACTAAATCATGGCTTTATCTCTGTCAGTTTTACAGATATTGAACTGTGGTAGTAACTGAGTGACCTTCAACACATGCATCTTAATATCTCATAAAATTGTGAATTTCTTTCTTTTTCAACGCCACAATTTGTCAGCATCATTTCATTTGATGATCTTAGTCTAAAACTTCAAAGAATGCTTGACCTTTAATTATAAATACAAAACTATTCAAAATGTCACTTTTTATTCATTTAAATTACTTTTGAATGTGTTATTCATTTAAATTACTTTTGAATGTGTGTATTGCGTAACAGATGTTAACATGATACAAACTTAAATGAGCTCAAACTTTGTTTAAATTTATTTATTCGCTTGAAAAGAAACTGTGCTATGGTAGCATGGTGGTCAGTGCTGCAGTAGAGTACAGGTTGCATCTGAAAGAGCATCCAGCATAAACATTTGCCTAATCTTTTATGTGAGCTTGTTCACTGGCGATCCTTGAAGAACTGAAGGGAGCAGCTGAACGAAAACATATGTGCTTGAAGATAAATAACCAAAAACCCAGTATGAGGAAGAGTGGAGTCTGCCACCTTTTTTCAGCTCTAGTACTACATATTAAAATGGCCTGTAGGCTCCCACGGTAATATCAAACAGCCTGGCATTGTTCACAGTTCCTTCTTTATCCAGAAGAAAATAGAACCTGTATCCTTTGATTTTGAGGGGGATAAAGGAGGGAGATTCCTGTCTGTGGGCATGACAGGCCACCTGGGAGAGAGGGACTGTCATTGTCCTGCCTCGTCCGGGACCCAGAGGGGACTGTGTGCAAACTGTCACCATCCTCCCACCCTTATGGAGGACCACCTTATTGACAGAGCGCAGACAAAACAGAGCTCCGAGCCCGGCTATCCCCGCACCTATAACCAGGCATCCCAGCGTGAAGCCGTACCTCCAGGAGTTTGAGCCCAAATTCATCTCGAAACTCCACATCCCGGCTAGTCCGGTGGTGGTGGGCGCCCTGGCCTTCCCCTTAGCTCCGCTCGTGTCTTTGAGCTCTGTGTAGGCGAAGTGAGACAAATACGTCCAGAAAAGAAGCTGTCCTCCGCAGAAGGCCGAGAGAAGCTGGAAGAAGCGGGTTTTGTCGTGCTGGAACAAGGTGACGTCCCTGGAGGGTTGGGTGGAGGTACAGAAACTGCGGCGGGGTGCCGGCAACCTGCGGCTTGTGTTGATAAATATCCCGTAGAACAGTCCGGTACCACTGCTGAGCCGGGTGGACACGCTGCTGGTCGGTGAAGTCTCCGCCGACTTTGACGCAACGAGCCGAACTTTGTGCTGAATGTTACAGAGTCTAAACTGGCCGCTGTAACGCTCCAGAGCTCCACACAGAAGGCGCTCCAATCCCATGTCTCACTGTAAAAACCTTCCTGAGACTAAGCGACAATAAAGTACGGCGGTCCAGATACGTAAACTGAGTTATAAATCTTGTTTTGAACGTCCTTTTCCTCCTCACTAGAACTTACAGCGAATGGGCGCCGCCATATTTGTTACGTACTAAGATCTCGCGAGAAAAACTGAACGAGATTTGCTCAGCTGTTAGTTACGCTCAGAACTCTATAAAGAGCTCCCTATAGGGCTCTGGTTACGCTGTACAGAGCAACACAAACAAAATTGCTTTTATTTTAGAAAACAAAAAAGCTCCACAGTATACATATTATTCATTAAGCTAAATTTCTACTACTCAAATGAAACAAAGCAAATAAATTCTCATCAGTCTCTGATTTTAGAATAATTTAAAATATTCACTTACTATATTAATGCAAACGGAGTATTTTTTAAGGCTAAACAAGATTGAATTTATTTATTTATTACTCTTAACCACATAACACAGGCAAAACACACAGTATTTAATTTAAATGATGCTGTTTGTTCATAAATTAAATGAAACAATTTTATTTATTCATGTTTTATTTTATTGCTTTAGTGTTACAAGTTTTACCCCATTAAGTCGATCCACATTCTCTCAATCATGTTGCATTGAAGTATTTTCTCACTTTGTCTTGTGTTAAGAACATAGTTAAAATCCTGCTTTATTTGTTTACTTTTTTCCCTCTGACTTGTTCTTAATATTAATAATTTGTATGTGTATGCTTTAAATGTACAATATTTTTTCCTACCTGCCAGCTGTTGAAGAGTGAGTTGAGACGTTTAGAACGAAACCAGGAGAGGGAGAAAAGTGTGGCCAATCTGGAGTACCTGAAGAACGTTCTGCTGCAGTTCATCTTCCTGCGTTCTGGCAGCGAGAGGCAGGCTCTGCTTCCTGTTATTCACACCATGTTGCAGCTCAGTCCAGAGGAGAAGAGCAAACTGGCTGCTATCGCACAAGGTACATAATGAGTGAATAGTTTGGATGATTTGTCTAAATGTGCCAAAAAATTTAATTATACTAGTAAAACAATAATTGAGTGCATGTAAACACTAAGTATTTGAGTGTATATAAACTCGAACTACATATCCTTTGATTATTGATTATTAGTTTTGATTATTATCTTTAATTATTTGTTACTTTCTGCAGGTGAGGAGGAGGTAAGTGGGTCTCGAGGCTCCGGCTGGACCTCCTACCTCCACAGCTGGTCTGGGATCAGATAGACTTGGTGACCAACCAAATCATCTTAAAACACTGGGAGCACATTGAAGTGGCATCACTGAAGTCTTTCCTATGATATTCTGTATTCGAGCTTCAAATAGTTAAACTGGGGCATTAAATATATTATTGGGACAGAGTAAAGGGGACCAGAGAATGTATTAGAGTGGGTTTGTGGTTGAGAGAACTGATCTAAAACCTTTGAGAATGGATGTGATAACTGTGATAATTTTCTGTCTTTCTTAGTCTTATTACCCTGATGGTGATATTAAAATAACACATTCTTGAAGTGGGGCTTATAAGGTGTAGGGCATCAGAAATAAAATAATATTTATGTATTGCATTATATTTTTAGTCTTTATAAGATACATGTACACAGATGTCAGTTTATGAGATTAAGGATTAATCGACTATGTATTGACTGAAACTAATTTAAGGCTGTAGGAACTGAGAGTGCTTAAGGTGCTCCTAGTGCTCCTCCTAGTGAACGACACAAAGTAACATCAGAAATGCAAACGGATTGAATGAATGAGTAAAATTAGAAAAAACACATAAGGTGTTATGTAAGTTTATAATCAAAGTATATTTTTATGATAATGACTTGCTTATGGGGGTAAATAAGTTTTCTGTTTGGTCCCTGTTTGGGGTTCTACAGTGTTCCTCTCTACACGGTCTCACAGCACTCCTTGTGTAAAACGTGTTCCCACAGCTTTGCATTAATTAGTTGAAAGATCTTGTCAGACATTTGACTCTTTTGCAGACATCTTTGACTAGTTTGCTTGGGTCCTGTATAATGTGCAGTACATTTTTCTGACTTTACTGCTTTATAAGTCATTTTGTTACAAATCACAATGCTATCAGCAGCTTCAGAGACGCAGAATGTGTTGCTCTACCTTAAAGACAGCAATTTTGCCTTTCATTGGTGGCAGTAGAAACATGCATATGAAATTAGTTTAAAACTAAAATCCTCTCCAAGTTTAACTTTTTACCAGCTTTTGTCTGGAAGGTTAATATTAAATATTAAAATGCCTTAATGCCACATACAGTGGTAAGTGTGTTGGTTTATATTGGTTAATGGGCTGACATTTAATAATCCATTTGTGCAGCCTATTAGCACAACCTTACTGCAGTTACATATAAATCTACATTTCTGACCAACACATACTGTTATATACTTCTATTAGTATGGATTTGCAGTTGTTCACTAATATCTCATGTTTTGTTCTTGTTCTGATCCTTTGCACCTGCAAGTGATGTTTGGTTTGTGACATAATCAATACTTTTATTGGATGAAGGAAGGTCTCGTTGACAGTGAGCACATCTGCTTTGAGCAACACCACCTGTCACATCTTTGGATGACACAATGTTTTCATTATTTTACCATGACTTCTCTGTGGGGTTGGAAAAACGTCTTTGCCTCCTTTCTGTAACTTGAACGCCTTTTCCTCTCCCAGCCAGTGTTGAAGAAACTTTGCTCGTTTGTTTTCCTCATTCCAGCGGCAGCTTCTTGGGTTTCATCCTCCACAAGTGAATGTACTTTTATCTTAACTTTTATATTTATGATGACTGCTGTCATCACAAGCTGTGAGAGATTATAAAAACTGTAAAATCTAAATGTGTACAAATGATTAGATTTAAAATCCTGCCATTGTTCTCTGCATGTACATCAAGAATTACAGAACTTGATTAACAGAATTAAAGTAATCAAAGCTTGTGTTAAGTTGTGCTTAATTTAGAATCATAGTATTCACTGTGTACCAGAGTTTGACTCTAAACAACACTTAGAAAATTTCTAAAGATGTTTTTAAGAGTGCAGATGCAGCTACAACATAACTTTGTAATTGTCTCCCTGACAAATTCAGAATAGAACTCAAAATCTTGCTTCAAACCTACAAAGCCCTCAACAACCTAGCTCCATCTTAAATTACCAATGTTATTGTTCCATATTTTCATAACAGCGCACTTTGCTCTCAGACTGCAGGCTTACTTGCGGTTCCTAGAGTTTCCAGAAGCAAAATGGGAGAAAGATCTTTCAGTTATCAGGCTCCTCTGTTGTGGAACCAACTTCCAGTTTCTGTCTGTGAGGCTGACACATTGTCCAGTTTTAAGACTTTCCTTTTTGATAAATCCTATAGTTAGAGTTGGCTTGTTATGCTGCTATAGGTTTACACTACTGGAGGACAAATTTACCTCATTTCTTAAAATGAATTGTTACAAATGAATAGTTTGAATTTGAAATTATTTATAACTTAGCATGATTCTTGACCTGCCATTGTGTATCTGTTCCTCTCAAACCCAGCCGGTTGAAGCAGACAACTACTTGTCCTGAGCCTGGTTCTGCTGGAGGTTTCTTCCTCATGAGCGAGTTTTTCCTTTTCACTGTCGCCTTCATGCTTGCTCAAGTTGAGAGTCCTGTGATGAGTTAAATTTAAAGTAGTCTGCTCCTCAGATAAATAACTTACTTTTTATATATATGAATGTTTCTGTTCAGTGACTTCTGTTGTGACGACGCTATATAAATCAACTGAATTAAATTGAATTGAATTAATAATCTAAAGTTAAAAAAATATATTGTTCGTGTTTCAATGTGCAGGAAGAACTTAGATCCAAAGAAATGTTAAAACTGTTGCCAGCGCATTATGATCACCAAGATAACTACACGACTGTCTGTCCCTCCCTGACTGATAAAACAATGAGAGGCAGACTGAAAAACAAGCCTCAAAGAAACAGTTGCTGTGTGAAAACTAGACATTGGATCTTTAAAAATTTTGCATCTTGAATCAATGGTAAAAGACTGATAGTTGCACATTTTATGTTTGTACCTACGGTATTATATGTAGGAAGTTTTTCACGTCCTGTATTGAAGAGAAAATTCTGAACTCACTGTAACAGTTTGGCTGTGCAAACTCTGAACTCGGGTTTAAGAGGAAACCATAAGTCTTACTGTGCAAAAAAAGTAAAATCTAATGTTTGTATATGTACCAAAAACTATTGAGAAAAAAAGGGTTGAAAAGATTTTGAACATTTTACACAGCTTAAAAATTAAGATTGACATCAACAACTTGTCGTTAACAAAAAAAAAAAACTTGGGAAAAAGTACTGTGATTGTGTAAAGACTGTTAAAGATACCAAAGTGTCAGTTTAGATGTGTAAAGTCCAACTTCCTGTGACCCGTTCAAATGTTGAACAATGTGAAATATGTCTGAGCGACAGAGCTCTAAGGACGTCTGGGGTTTCTCATGTGATTCACCAAAATCCCATTCATTTTAAAATACTTCATAAAGTTCCAAAAGGACCTTGAATACACAGGATCTGAAGATGTTTAATGTGAGCAAATAAATTACTCTGGATACTCGAAAAGATTAAAGGATGAACCAGATCAAATGTGAGGGCCTTTCTTCCGTCTGCTGCGATGGATGGAAAGTCATTTACGTAAAGAAGGGAAGGGGGAAAAGGGGGTTGCCTTTTAAGGAAATAAATGTGGTTCTGGTTTCATGGCGCATTCAGGGGAGGACACAAATAATAGCTACTACAGGCTGCTGAAAGTAAAAGGTAAACTAAACTTCCTGTGCAGCAGCAGCATCATTAACTCCTTGCTGTACTCTCTCTTTGGCTTTCTCTCTTAACTTGTTTAAATTTATCTGTGTAGTTTATTTTAAAGCTTTTGCCTCGGGTTGTATGTTTTTCCACAGCACCCACCCGTCTTGTTAAACTTCTGTGGAGGTTTGTGGAAAAGTCAGATTTTCCATCCACTCAGAGGGAAATCAGCTGATTTAGGAGAGGATGCACAAACTAAACTGGTGGGAGTCTAATTTAAAACGTTGTTGACTCACAAGAAGACTTTGGAGGGACTTCACAGGGTTGGACTTTTTGTTTCCTGACCATAAAATTTATAAAACTAATTCAGTAAAAACAGGAGGTTGAGCTAAAAGCTGAAATAGACACATAAAACACTGAATCCTTTGGTTTTCAAAATAAAAGCACTGTTAAAAATCATTCTGCACTTCATAGCACTTTGAAACTACTAGGTTAAATATATGCATAAAAACAATAAACTAACTCTCTTGTTTGGGGCTGCCCTGATTTTCCTTTTAAGTTGAAATTGAAAACTTTGCAGTTTCTTTTTTGCTTTGGTAATAAAAAATAATTTTATTTTGATCTAAAACAGCCAACCAACTCTTTCAGTACTTTGTCTTTTGTTTTGAGAAATAATGATTTGCTGTATAATATTTAATATTTAAATTGTGTTTTGTCTTACAGCAATTCACTGACTACTCTCATAAAAACTAGTACAAAAAAAGGCAATAAAACAATAAAATTTACACGTTATTTAAAGCAGTACATATTATACTGTACCTGTTCAAGTTGATCCGCTAGGCTGCTTACTTTATTTTAGATTGTTACATTCCTGCTCTCACATCACATTTATTTTACTACTGTTGGTTAATTTCATTCTCATACAACTTCTCAACATAGCATAGCTAAAGAAATAAATATTTTATAAGCAATGCATTTTTTAAGGTTAAGCTAAGCTCTCGTTAACAATACAAACTGGAGAAAAAAATAATGCAAAAGGTTTAATTGATTTTCAAGTGACAAAACCTACATTTGAAAGTTATTAGGGTTGGATTCAGTTAATCTTCTATTAAAAGTTTTTGTGAGTAATATGAAATTAAAATTATTGACAAGCGTATATAAATCATTGCAACCTGCAGCCCTAAAGCAACATGCAATGGTTTTATGGAGCTTTGACCAACACAATCATGGAAGTGAATAAGATGACTTTATTTATAACCACAAATAAAAAAACGACCAATAGAAATGACAAGTCATTCTGAATATATATTTGAAATAAATGAATTTCATTCATTCAACCTTTATTCATACAGGTTAGTCTCATTGAGCCAAGAGAACTCATTTTCATGAGACTTGGTTTAAACAAATGACACAGATGAGGTACAGACAGCAATAGACAATCATATAAAAATCATATAAAATGAAAAGTAAATACAAGAAATGAAATAAAAATGGACCACAGAAATGGCTACATTATAAAACAGTATAAAATGCTCAAAACAGGAAAATGTCTGAGTTGGTTTATGCCATGAACTTAGTTGTTTAAAATCCCTTAGAGAGGTCAAGGTCGAGAGCTTCAGATCATTTTTGCAGGGTGTTACAGGTAGGCCCAGATTTCCTTAATTTTGGGACATTGGCTGATACTGGCATGAGAAACTGATTTTATCATTTTATTTTTAGTTTCAACAACAATTGTCTGAACTTCATTTATATTTCAGAGTGCTACCTCATGGCCAGTTGAAACAAGTTTGTATTGTTTCTAGGATATTGTTCAAGAGTATGTTTTTCACTAAAATAATATTGGAAAATTAAAGGTGCATTGTGACTTTATAACACCTGACAGTGTCGCTTATAAAACAAAATTGGTATCGGCCAAAATTGGAATCGGCAGATCAGACGTTTGTAGAAATCGGTGATTGACCAGAAAGCTGCAATCGGTGCACCCCT